CTACTATATAATCTACTATATAGTTCGCCTGTAGTTTGGAGGCAGGAGGAACAACAATCACTTTTCTGCTGAAGTCTATAATGTATTTTAATTTAGAAAATGACACCTTCAGCCTAGTTGCAAATAAACCATGTTGTAGAACAAACAGTGCCAATATGCACTGTCAGCCCAGCTGAAGGGCCCATATTCCTTTCAGGAGCAAGAATGTCAACAGTAAAGAATTGTACCGGTGGTCTCAAGAGAGGACAGAAAAATGCATGCCCAGCAACATAAACAGCATTTTCCGTACGTTGCTTAAATTAAGAGAAATCTAGGCGACAGAAGAAATGATAGGAGAAAGACTTCAGACTGATACTTACTTGTCTTTGGGAAGATCAATTTATAAGCACAGCAAATTTACTATATTCTCAAGCAGACTGAATACCGCCCCAAATCTGGATACTTGCAGAAAAGCAAGCAGTCAACTCCAGAAATTTCACTTTCACAATGGAACCGTAACCCAAAAGGCCCAAGCTCAGAGGATAACATCCCACCATCCCTCTTTCACCCTACAGCCAAAAACTGCAGTAAACGGAGATCTGGGGAATCCACCTATAACGTCAGGCAGAACAGAGATGGCAAATTTCATGGGTTTGCAGTTCAGCTGTTCCACAGAGTGGCTAAACAATCTCAGATGAAGAAGAAAGGGAGTCCACAAATAAAAGTTAAAGTGTCTGTGTCTCAGAGGAAACGGAGACCCCGCTGCAGTGCCAAGATTCAATCACAAGTCTCTTGGGTGCACATTTTTAAATATTAGGTGACTCAAGATACAAGCAAGGGCCAAATTTCCATTGTTCATTTTAAGGCAGTTATGCACTATGCAGTGTGAAATGCTAGTATCTTCTGCACAATTTCAGATGCCTAAATGCTTTCAAAAATTTTTGCTCATTTCCTGCACTGGCCCCATTCCTATTTCCCATTTCTAAGGCCAGAATTTCCTGAAGAAAAATCTATTAATATGTGAAGATTTCACTGTCTTTCAGTAATGGGAGTCATCTGAGGGGAGAAGAGAGGTAGATGACAGTAGGCAGATGATAGGTGATAGAAAACAGGTAGGTGAGATCTAGGATCAATGAAATGGAATAGCATATGTAAAAGCGAAGAAGTTGACCTTGGTGGACAAATGGAGGGTGACATCCAGGTACCACCTTACCTTTCTTTAGACAGCGGAAAGTGTACCACTAGCGAGAGTTATACTTAGTTCGTCGGTCACAGGGAGTCACTAACAGCCTGGACTTAATGTTCAGAAACTCCTAACACAGTCAAGGAAATTTATGATGCACAAAGCTAGTAACACTGACTTGTAAGGATGCTCACAAGGCTTCATAGGAGCCTTCAGCTGATCTCTGGGAGCAGCACATCCTTACACAGACCCCAGCTATCCTGCAGTGACCACTTTTGTCAGTACTGTAGTTGAAAGCCTTGACTGTGATTTTAAGTGCTGACCCAGTAATTAAAAAAAAAGCAGCTGCTCTGACTATGAGGCATGTGCGTCACTATGAAATGAAATATCGATGACCCAGTTCTACACGTTTGGATCTTGGTGCCTCAAAAGTCAGAAGTCTTACAGCTAGGGCATGAAAATACAAGAGTGCTTAAAAACTGCAACCAGCCAGAGAATAGCCAAGACTATGGTTAAAGATGACAGAGAGAGGGTCTCTGGTTTCTAAACACAGGAAAATTTTGGAATAATCAATACCAGATAGTAACGAAATAACCCTGGAATAACTAGAACTCAGTAAGGATCTCTGGTTGTGAGACAGGAATCAACCAACACCTTTAAGAGGCATGAAAGGACTCCTACTTGGCTGATTTGCAAAAGCTTGCAGGAAACAAACAGGTTGTTCCCTTCTGTTGCCTTAGACTTAGCAAATCCTCTGTGAGTGGTTCTTTTCAGTTGAGGTCTGCAATATTAATTCATACTTTGCACTTAGTTTTTAGGGGTTTTTGGGGGGTTTGTTTTTCTTGGTGGTATATTCTGACTTTCTCCATTGTTATTATCTAAAGAGCTAGGGACACTATAACTTGTTTTACTTTCAGTGGAATATAAGGCCGTATGAGATTCTAAGTCACAAAGATTTAATGAAGGGCAAGGAGGGATATTTCTTTTTCCTAACAAATCAGCAAGAACTTGCTCCCGATGAGACTTTAATCTTCCCCAGCTTTGAGCTTCCTCAGGCTTCCTGTAGACAAAAGAACCATTCAAGAAATGCAAGGGGAAGATGACCTCAGAACCCAAGGAGACAGTAATCATAAGAAAAATCTCAGGAAAGGAAGTAAGAACAGCAAAAATCCTCACCCTCAGAGTGTGAATTTGGTTCATGTGTTAGAAATTGTCTTACAGAGCATAAAGATCAGGTATGTGCTGGAATGTCATACAGTGGGAACAAAAAAGCTTGAGAAAAGGCAGTAGAAGATAAGGGGACACTGGAGATCTTTGAGACCGATATGGGATTTTCACAGTTTTGTTTTTTTTTTGTCTGAGTCCTCTCTAACCTTATCAACTTTCAACATCAGCAAGCAATGCTTGAGGCTGAGCTCTTCAAAATCATATGTGTTCTCATTGCTTCAAGCAACTTAAACATTAATGACTGAGGACTTGGACTCCTTAGAGCAGCAGAGAGGCAGAGCAGGAACACTGGAAGCAATGGAAGAAAAGAAGGAATATCTAAGTAGGAGAGAGAAAGAAAGAGGCAAAAACCCTGAGAAGCACCTGGAAGCTTTTTCAGCCTCCAACCTGAAGAAGGAGGGCCTAATGCCACGTGTCTGTTAGCAACACCAGCAACCCAGTCCCTCAGCACTGCCACAGCAGCGTCTGTACTTACAGATGCAATGCGGCGACAGTACACAGCACAGTCCACGTTTAGTCTGTCTGGGACCCAGAGAGCTTGAGAGAAAAACAAAATCCCTGAAAAAAAATAATTGCTTTTATATTCATTACAAGCAAATTCTCTATCTTTTGCACTATGAATAAGGCTGTAGACAGTTTCTTAAAGGTGAAAAAGGCAACTCATTAACACAATCTCCAAACTGTCAGATTCATTGCTGATAAAATATTCTTTTTGTCACTTCAACTTTATTCCTAAACAATTATATTAAAAATAAGATAATTACAAAATATAATATAGCAAGTCAGAAGCTATTTTTCCACAGTTTCCTATCCAAAATAGACTTAAATTAACAGAAGAGAAGTTATTACTAGTACTCAAAGACCACGCAATGCTTTTAGAATATTAGGTTAAACATAGCCTTAGCTCAGGAAAGGACTTAAAACCATTCTTGTTTTCAGGAAAAGGGAAAGTCTTCCTGACTCAGGGCCTCTAAAGCAGAGGTAATGACATATCATATAGATACTACTTGGGCATACAGTAAAAATTTGGCTGGTTTGTTTCACAAATTCTTGAACTCCACAGCAAGTCTTATTTCAATACGTATTAGAAATAAGCCAGTTCAATTAAAAGTGCAATTCTCCTTTAAGATCCAAATTTTCTCTACTTTCACACATCATTCTTGCAGCAAAAGAGTCACAAGTTGAAACAGAAATATGATGACAGTACCCCACACTTTTTGGTAATTCTGAAAGTTCACATAAAATACTAGCACTCACCAAAAATAATATTCTGGTTCATATAGTTATGAAAATGTTCTACTGATTCTGAAATGCTTATGACATTTCTCATTATGAAATACATAGGCAGAGCAGCAGCTCTGCAATTCTAAAATACTCTCATTCATTTCTACAAGCTATGAATTCAATGCTAATGCCACTGACATTTTAACGTCAATATTATTTGCTAAAACATGGAACTTGTGGACAAAGCATTACAAAACAGACAATTCAAGTACTTTTTGGATTTGATTAGTTAACCAAAAATTCTGAAATTCAAAAGCTGTTCTAGGTCACAGCTCTTCCCAGGACTATATTTTTTTCCCCCAGGATTTCTTTAAAACTGCATCCAATCAAATTATTAAAAACACATGCAATGAAGCATCTGACACTTCCCCTGGGAGACCTTTCCATAGCCAACAAGTTGTTATTTTTCCCCAAGTTGAATTTTAACATCATTTCATCCCATTGCCCGTTCTCATGGAAGCGAGGAGAAAGAGTCCCCAGAGAAGGCAACAGGAAAAAAAAAAAAAAACAAAAAAAACCCACCCACACAATTGCTAAACTACACTAAGAAAGTGTATAAGAGCAATTCAGCTGTGAAGTGTGTTGATGAAAGAGGAACCATGAAGGTAAGGGTTAACTTAAGTCACAACAGCAGCTTCCCAGCTTTCTGTTCTCCATCAGCATGGAAGAGTCACAGATGCATGTGGATGGCTCCTAAGAAAAAAATTAGTATGAAAAAAAATCTTGAGTTATATCATTCCGTAAATACACCTTTGGGAAAAGAATCAGAGTTCCCTTAGAATTGCTCAACTTCCTACTTCCCAGAGTAGGAAGAAAAGCTCTTTGAAAGTTGTTATTACATTCTTAAAAACGTACCAGCCATGATATCTTCTCACTTCTTCTCATAAACAAATGAAACTACCATACTACACAGCACTACTACCATTTAACAGAAACATTGTACCGTCTATTACCCTGTCCCTGAGAACATCCAATGGAAGATGTTGCCAAGGGAGATACCATAAAACATCTGATTTAGTCTATAAGGATTTTTCTTCCCTCACAACTTCATAAATAGTATCTTGCTGCTTACCTAACATATCTTTCAGCTAAGGAATATATTTATTTTTTTTTTATTCCTTCACCTTCTCCATTGCTAGGAATTGGTGAAAAGGCAGTTTAGAGAATTACTGCAGGATGTGTATGCAGACAGCTATTTTGAACACATTATAAACACAAAACATTATAAACACAAAACTCCTGGAAGATATCATACAAAAAGAGACAAGAGAAGAGTCATCACTAGCATCAGCCACAGATGCAAACATTTGTCATCTAAAACAGATACACATTTTGTAAAGTAAAAGCCCAAACCAGTATTTAAAGAAAAATAATAGATATCCTCCAGGAAAAATCTAGTCCCCACTGCTGTCAACAGAGAAACTCCCAAGTAATATCGGTGGGAGATGGATGTGAATTTGATCTCTGTCCTTCTTCAGATCTCAGAATCAAAAAAAAAAAAAAAAAAAAAAAAAAAAAAGGCATGGCAATAGCCAGCAACAGTTATACACTAAAGGCCCAATTCATTTAGAAAAGAAAGCATAAATAATTTGTTAATCAATAAAAAGATGACGAAACGAGCTTGAAGAGATTTCATGTGTCCTCATCAGCAACTTCCTTTCGGCGCTGGGCCCGGAAATGACGCTCAATATTTATTGTCACTTCCCTCTGCAAATTTCTGCTGTTAGTTTTTCCAGCTGTTCTGATCCAAGGGTGCTGAAGTACTTGTCGTGCTGTGTAGCGCTTCTGGGGATCCACTATCAACAGTCTGGTTATGAGGTCTTTTGCTGCTATTATGAAAGAAAGAAAAGGAGAAAGGGGAAAAGAACAGTGATGTGTTGATGCTGACAGTTATACCTACACTGAACGTTCTTGTTATTTTTTCTTCTTTTTACCATAATGACGTTTGTGACTAACCCCAGGAGATATTCTAACAACTGATTTAGAACTAGTGACAGGAGATGTTAAATCTCCAGCATATCTTTTACTGATATCATTCTCCCCTTCAGAAAGAGAGGTGAAAGCAAAGGGAATTTACGCTTGAAAGCATGCTGAAGGCATCAGGCTAAGTGTTCAGATTCACAGGAATTAGCATTGGGTATCTCATCTCTCAAGGAGCATAAAAGTTGTAGAATGCTGTTGAGCATGTTCTTTAAAAGACTGGATAGAGAGAAAGGGGGGTTAGGGTTTCTGATTTCGAAGACTGCACAAAAGACACTGTACTAGCCGGTGAAAAGGAAAATACGACGTGCAGACCCCACTGATCTCAGTAGAAAATCCACACTGCATTCTGCAGAGCAAAGATTTCATTCTCAGCTTTTGAGATTTTTGCATACCTCTTTACAGTCTAACATAACCCTGGAAATTACTTTAGTACTTTTTTCTACAGAGACAATTCATATAAGCAAGGTGAGGAAAATCCTTGCTCTTGCCTCAGAGAGGGAGCAATCTATTAAATCAATCAGACCTAATATTCAGATTCACAGCCATTGATACCATCAGAGGACTACATTCACGTCTAAAGCAACACCGAATCACACAAAAGAGACCTGTAAGACACTCCCAAGTTCATTGAGCTCACTGTCCTGAACAAAAAGGAGCTCTTCGCATTCCAGGGAAGAAGTCTGTCATTTCTCAGATCTTCTATACATGCTGAATCTTACCTGCAGAAATATTGTCCCAGTAGGGGGAAAGGAACTCGTAGTGACCCAGCTGTATGATCTGAAACAGCTCTTCTTGATCACGTTCCTGACTGCGAAAAGGGGGAAAACCGCAGAGCAGAATGTAAAGGATCACACCAGCTGCCCACATATCTACTTCGAGCCCATAGCCTAAGGCAGAAAAGACAAACCAAAATTCCCGTTTTAGAAAGAAAACTCACAACTGGTAAGGAACCTTTTCTTTTTCATTCTGTTTTCCAAGAAACACAGAAGCTCTGCTCAGTTTCTCAAAAAGATGAGGTCAGCAGGAGAATAAGTGGCTGGTACACCATGCTTACAAGCTGAGCTGCTCTGCCTGTTAGTAACTACAGCTCTCACAAAGTACCTCTCTTCTTCAACATGTTTCACAAACACTGTCTCACAAGGCCAGTGTCAATTGGAGACTAATTGAGAAAACACAGCATATATTTCTAAAATAGTCCTCCTCAGATTCCCTTCAGAAAAGCACTAAGAGAGTGCCAAGTTTCCATTGAAATTGTACATAACTGGAGATGTGCAACCCAGCTCCACAGAACAAAAACCAGAAATAGCTTTGCTTGAGTCATCAACAAAACTGACTCCTTTCCAGGTCTGAATCTTTTTGGATATGAAATCTCCAAAATTGCTTCTGTTTTGGCTTGTTACCTAAGTTTAACATACATGTTTGCAATGTTTTTGCATCATTAGGGATCTTGGAAAGTTGTTTAGGTTACAGTCGAGAAATGGGGCTCACTACCCTCGGAGGTTGCAACATGAACTTTTGCTCATTTCCCCACTTCAGCAATTACCATTGATGGTATTTTATGGCTTGTCGGCTTGGAAATCAGTGTTACATCACCACAGACATTCACAATGCAAATATGATTCATGTGATTCTTGTGTGTGTCAAAAGCTAAAAGGTTTCCTTTCCTTTCATTGCACAGGTTACACTGCTAGCCAACCTCCTACCCTGCAAAGACATCTCAGTAGGTTGAAACATTCTAGATTATTTCCATGATTAGAAAGTTCAGAGTAATTGTATGAATTATGACATATTATAAATATATACACTCACCCTTCTCAGCAAGAATTTCAGGGGCAACATACGTTGGTGTTCCACACACAGTAAATATGGGTTTCGTAACCTGCTTTGCAAGGCCAAAATCTGCTAGTTTCAGTGTAGTAGATTTATCTGCATTATGCTGAACCTATACTCAATGAAAAATACATATATTTAGTCCAGATGCATTTTAAGACAGCAAAAGATAAAGGTAGTAGTTAAACAGGAAGAGGTTCTAATAATAGTGCCTTCATGTAAAGCAACATCAAATGGAAACAGTACTTTGATAAACAGTATTCAGAAAGTGTTTTTTCTCCCATATAGTAAGAGGGTGCATATATTTAAGAGGACAAGCAATAATGGAAAAGAAAACTGTGCTCTACAAACTCTGGCACACTGTAATTTCCAAGAAATGAAAAGGAGGAAGACAAAAAATAACCAAGAGTCAATTAAATGTCATTATTTCCTCTTGGGAAAGTAAACTCTTCTTTTCCCCTGGGAAAGCAAAGAAGAAGTTATGGGCGTCTTTATGCTTGAATGTAATATTCCCAGGTAAGCCATCGACTTCACAGTGTCACTTGAAAAATATATCTCCATCATACCAGTCTAACAAAAAAAAAAAACAAAAAGTACTAAAACAAACAAATGCTTTACTTTCTTTCAAAATTACTCTGCTACTCTACCTGCTACCCTGAAAATAAATGCGTCACAGTCATCATACGGTAAGAGTTAGAGGAATGGATCCATGCAGAATGTCCTCCTACATGGGTCTTTTCAGCAGTTCCCATCTCCTACATCCACCTGGAAAGTAATCAAAACACTTCTTCCCATTCTAATTTTGCATACATGGGTCTTTAGCATTAATTTGTAATGCAGTTAATGAAACATCATTTTAAGGCACAAAATGTGTCAATGACATAGACAGTGGAATTGAGAGCACCCTCAGTATGTTTGCAGACAACACCAAGCTGAGTGGTGCGGTTGACAGGCCTGATGGATGGGATGCCATCCAGAGGGACCTGGACAAACTTGAGAAGTGGGCCCATGCAAACCTCATGACATTCAACAAGGCCAAGTGCAAGGTCCTGCACCTGGGTTGAGGCAATCCTCGGTATCAATACAGGCTGGGGGATGAAGGGGTTCAGAGCAGCCCTGCCAAGAAGGACTTGGGGGTACTGGCGGATGAAAAACTGGGCATGACCTGGCCATGTGCGCTTGCAGCCCAGAAAGCCAACCGTATCCTGGGTTGCATCCAAAGCAACGTGGCCAGCAGGTTGAGGGAGGGGATTCTGCCCCTCTGCTCTGCTCTGGTAAGACCCCTGGTTCTGGGGTCCCCAGCACAAGAAGGATGTGGACCTGTTGGAGCGAGGCCAGAGGAGGTCACGAAGATGATCCGAGGGCTGGAGCACCTTGCCTGTTAGCATCCTTCCAATACCTAAAGGGGGCTTATAAGAAAGATAGGGACAGACTTTTTAGTAGGACCTATAGTGATAGGACAAGGGGTAATGGTTTTAAACTAAAGGAAAGTAGACTCAGAGTAGATATAAAGGAATAAATTTTTCACAACGAAGGTGATGAAACACTGGCACAGGTTGCCCAGAGGGGTAGCAGATGCCCCATCCCTGAAAACTTCCAAGGCCAGGTTGGATGTGGCTCTGAGCAACCTGATCAAGTCGAAGGTGTCCCTGCTCACTGCAGGGGACTTGGACTAGATGGCCTTTAAAGGTCTCTTCCAACCCAAATTATTCTATGATTCTGTATTCAAAGGCCAAGTCATGAAGAACGTAGCAGTATAATTAAACACATCAGTATTCATAACACTGGTGATTGATATTCAAATATTCTTTAAGAGGTAAAAAATATCACGAATTTGCTTTAAATGAAACATGGTCTGTCTCTGGAACTATGGGGATCAGATCAGCAGCTAAAATGTCTACAAGAAAGCCAAGGAAATCTGGACTCCAGTTTTGAATGAACAAACTGGAATATAATGCAACAAGTATACTCCATGCTTTAACACCTCTTAACTTTGCCATCAGACAGTGCTTGAGAAAGAAAAAAGTGCAAAATTGTCTCTATTACAAGACAACTAAGGGCACAGATGGGACAAAATTTGTTCTCCTACAGTACAGATGACTAATCCCTGTTTATCATCTTTACAGAAACTGTAAGTATGCACCCCATTTTGATTAAGCAAAAAGTATTTTTTTCTTTCTATTTTTTAAGAAAAAATATTACATTACAAAATAATACATTATAGCCTACTAATCCCTTTTTATCTTCTTTATAGAAAATACAAGCACTCTTCTAGTTTTGATTAAGCAAAACGTTTTGAGGGTTTTTTTCTGTTTTTCTAAGAAAAAACATTTTTCAGCATGAAACTGAAAATAAAGATTACTACAGCCATGCAGTCAAAACTTCTGCAGGAGAAAGCCAAAATGCTATAGCCATTTTCTCTATTACTTTAGTCAACTGCATGACAATTTTTTTCCCCCATGATGCACTGCAGACACAACAGCTGACAAAAATGAAAAATAAATGACAAAAGTAACAGTTACTTTCTAGATCAGCATCTATCCATAGGATTTATATTCTAACAATAGGGGTAGTAGTGGTAGAATGCTACAAAAACTCACAATTGAAATGCTCGATTTTATATATACTATGAAAATATGAGCATGAATATATTTTCTTATTGTATAAATAAAGCTTTTAAAATTATATAAGAAAATCATGTCACATGGAATTTCAATTAATACTCCGCATGCTACTGTACTAAGATAAATAATACTGAAATATTTATATAATTTTTTAGAAACCAGCAGGGGGATGGGAAGGGTGGAGAGAAGACTGATCTTAACCCCAATCCCCAAATCA